TCCCAGAAAGCACATGCCAGGTGAGCCCACCTGCTGAGGTAAACTGCAGGCGCATACTGCAGTTCAGAGTGAGCTGCACATAGTAGACACCTTGTGATCACAAGCTAAGTCAATTCTCTGCATTGTCAGGAGAGGGAGGAAGAGAGGGGAAGAGAGCGGGGAGAGAGAAGGAGGGTGGGAGGGAGGGAGATCCAGACAGAATTCATAGGACAGGTACTACAGTGACAATGTACCCATTTTCCAGATGAAGAAACAGAGGCCAGTGGGCAGATGTGCCCAGGGGAGCAGCATCCCTTCTTGGGCCTGGACGCCGTTATTTTAGGTCACTCTAATATGCTAGGTGGGGTCTGCACACATTGCCGAGAGCAAAGAGGGTACTTGGGGGGGTGAGATCATTGTGAAGGTTGCCCCCATCCCAGACTCTGTCCTCCTGCGGAGGATCAGGGTCAGACACACCAATGTACAAGTAGATGTCTCTCCCTCTGGAGCTCCTGGGCACAGAAGCGTGCGGTGCAGGGCGTGGGCTGTGGCACTCAAGATCGTCCCTATTTCACGACTTTAGGCTCTTTTGAACAAAGGAGACCCCACACAACGAGGGAATGGTACAGTGGACTTGAGGGTCAGGATTCTCATCTTGTTTTGGGGGGGCAGTAGGGTCTTGCTATGAGTTCAGGCTGCCTTGAACTTGCAATGCTTCTGGTCAACCTCCCAGGTGTGCACCACCATGCCTGGCTGGTTTTCTTGTCCTCATGGTGACAATGGCAATGTGACATGATATTTACTTTATGCAAAGTGGGAGCCGGTGTACCTGACAACGTGGGGCCCCTTCTTGCCCTGTCTTCTTCCCCTAACACCTCCAAGCATGCACTGAAAGAACCTGGTGCTGTACGACATAGGAGATGGAGGGACAACCTCCTCCGGGGGACTCAGGGGTGGAAAAGACTTCTCAAGCCACGTGGCCCAGGAGTCCCCCTGGTCTGCCCCCTGCTGAATAAGTGGTCCCCATCAGCCCTATGAGGGCCTCAGACCCCTGGGCCAAGATGAAAAAGAGGATCCCAGGGGACCTATCTGTCACCCAGAGTCACACAGCTGGAGGGGCTGAGTGTGTGACAAGAGTTGGTATGACCTGTCTTGCAAAGTCATCAAGCAGGAGGCCTGGGGACTCTAGGAAGGGCAGATGCTGTCTGTCACCAGCCTATCTGTGTGACTTGGGCCAGTCAAGATGTGTCACTCTTTATCACGGCCAGCTCCTGCCCTGGGAATATTCTGTTCTTTCCTGCCCCAATGGGCCGGTCCTGCTCTTCTCTAAGGTCACATTAACCAGCCTCAACTAGGAAAGGCAGACATGAGCCATCTTGCCAGAGTCTTAGGCACAGGAAAGAATGGAGGGGAGGTGGGTGAGGTGAGGGAGGTGGGCACAGGCCGTGTCACCCAGGAACTGACCTAGAAGGCCAAGGAGCAGCCAACACAGACCCTGAGTGCAGAGCACACCTCTGCCATGGCTGCTCTACCCCAGGTGACAGATGGGGAGAATGAGGCCTGGAAAACCACAGGGTTAGCAAAAGCCACATGGCAGGTGGGGACAGAAAACAGAACTTCGAGCCAGGAATGGTGGCGTAAACCTGTAATCTCAGCACTTAGGAGTCTGAGGCAGGAGAATGGCTAGTTTGAAGACAACCCAGGCTACATGGAGAGTTCCAGGCCAGTCTTGGTTACATCAACAGACTTTGTGTTAAAAAAACAGAAAAGAAAAAAAAGGGAAGGAAGAAAGGAGGAGGGAGGGAAGGAAGGAAGCAAGGGAAGGAGGGAAGGAAAAAACGGAAAGAAAGGAAGAAAGAGAAAGGAAGGAAGGAGGGAAGGAAGAAAGGAAAAGACGGAAGAGCCAGGCACCTGTGGTTCACAGCTATAATCCCAGCTACTCTGGAAGCAGAGATCAGGAGGATCGAGGTTCAAAACCAGCTGGGACAAATAGTTCTCAAGAGCCTCTCTCAAAAAAAACCACCACAAAAAAAGGGCTGGTGGAGTGGCTCAAGTGGTAGAGCTCCTGAGTTCAAACCCCAGTTCCTCCAAAAAGAAAA